ATTTGAAGTTGCCTGACGAAATGGTTTCGTCATTCGTCAGTGACGAATATTTCGTCATTCGTCACCCATCATTAATTCCAACCCACAGGAAAACTATATTAACTTCTGACAATTTCTATTACTAAATTTGCTATTTTTATACACTTTAACCTCTTAATCAAGTTATGCTTAATAGTTATTTTTATACATGTCGAAATTTCGGCTTATGCGAACTATAGCTACATAAGCCACAATAATTTCTTGCATAGGATAAAATTAGTTAATTAAACCTGTATTAGCGTTAGCCATACAAAATCAATTATTTTTTCATAACATTGAATTAGCCTCTTCTTAATTGCATATCTATGTGGACTTTATTCAAAAAGGCATGACCATGTCATGTGATAACAAGAGAAAGCGCTAATAAAATTGCAAATATATATTATACGATCGTATTTATTGCTTTCATTTTTAAAGGTTCGTCTTATTAAGATGAATTAAAGGTAGTAAAGTCACCTGATTCTAATCACTAGATCTTGAAATATTGGATGTTTAAAAATCTTGTTTCTGATTGAAAAAAATTGATTACAAATTTTGATCTAATATCAGACTGAAACATCGTCAGTACTGATATTAAGACAAATAAAGCATAAGCCAAAAAATTTTTGCAGTATGTTATACCAGATCTTGTAAATTAATTGGTAGCAAAAAAGTTGTATAATCTACTTTGTCAAATTAGAGATAATATTTTCATATATCCAATAAGAAATATGGAAGAAATCACCGTTTGCCACTGCCTACAATACCCGATGCAACACGATTTTTTTACATAGTGAAAAAGTAAATATATACATATAAATAATATTTTAAAAAATTGATCTACATTATTCAATTATTTAATTGGTACCTGCGTTATAATACCTCCTTATATAAAAAACAATTTGTGTGCAAAAAAAAAACGAGACGGATTAAAAGTTTCCAAGAATTAGTTGACTAATGATTTCGGAATTTAAAAAAACCACTTTAATAAGTATTCACTCAATACCGCGTTTAAATAATACAACTTTACAAACAGGTATTGAAGTAACATCATTGAATAAAAATATGACAAAAGTGACAGAATAAAGTAATGTCAAACTTATGATGTCAAAAATTGAACGAATAATAACAATTTATAAATTGTATTGTTAAATTTGGTGACTGTATAAAAGTATGACTTGATTTGTTAAAAAAAAAAGGCCACATATCGATATAACAACAAACCAAATAAATAGTTTTCAAATTATCCATCAATTCATACTCAAACAGATAAACATCTTTTTATAAAAAAATAAAAAATGCCAATTCAAGAATCCGATGAAAAAGTTAAACCAACCATTAAAAAGGAAGATTTAAAAATCGGACAAAAAGTTAAATATCATCCTATCGGTAGTAGTGTGCAACTTTCTGAAGGAATCGTGAAAGAAATAATCACTCGACCTGAGGTCATTTTATAATAAAATTTTATAGATAATTAAATCTACATATATATATATTTTTTTTATCAGAAACTTTAAGGCCAATTTCTATACATTTTAATAGATCGTTGGAGATTCTCATAAAAGGGTTAAAGCTAGCGAAGATGATCCTAGAGTTGTTATTGAAAATTCGCACACACATAAGGTGAATTGATGGATAATTTGAAAACTATTTATTTGGTTTGTTGTTATATCGATATGTGGCCTTTTTTTTTTAACAAATCAAGTCATACTTTTATACAGTCACCAAATTTAACAATACAATTTATAAATTGTTATTATTCGTTCAATTTTTGACATCATAAGTTTGACATTACTTTATTCTGTCACTTTTGTCATATTTTTATTCAATGATGTTACTTCAATACCTGTTTGTAAAGTTGTATTATTTAAACGCGGTATTGAGTGAATACTTATTAAAGTGGTTTTTTTAAATTCCGAAATCATTAGTCAACTAATTCTTGGAAACTTTTAATCCGTCTCGTTTTTTTTTTGCACACAAATTGTTTTTTATATAAGGAGGTATTATAACGCAGGTACCAATTAAATAATTGAATAATGTAGATCAATTTTTTAAAATATTATTTATATGTATATATTTACTTTTTCACTATGTAAAAAAATCGTGTTGCATCGGGTATTGTAGGCAGTGGCAAACGGTGATTTCTTCCATATTTCTTATTGGATATATGAAAATATTATCTCTAATTTGACAAAGTAGATTATACAACTTTTTTGCTACCAATTAATTTACAAGATCTGGTATAACATACTGCAAAAATTTTTTGGCTTATGCTTTATTTGTCTTAATATCAGTACTGACGATGTTTCAGTCTGATATTAGATCAAAATTTGTAATCAATTTTTTTCAATCAGAAACAAGATTTTTAAACATCCAATATTTCAAGATCTAGTGATTAGAATCAGGTGACTTTACTACCTTTAATTCATCTTAATAAGACGAACCTTTAAAAATGAAAGCAATAAATACGATCGTATAATATATATTTGCAATTTTATTAGCGCTTTCTCTTGTTATCACATGACATGGTCATGCCTTTTTGAATAAAGTCCACATAGATATGCAATTAAGAAGAGGCTAATTCAATGTTATGAAAAAATAATTGATTTTGTATGGCTAACGCTAATACAGGTTTAATTAACTAATTTTATCCTATGCAAGAAATTATTGTGGCTTATGTAGCTATAGTTCGCATAAGCCGAAATTTCGACATGTATAAAAATAACTATTAAGCATAACTTGATTAAGAGGTTAAAGTGTATAAAAATAGCAAATTTAGTAATAGAAATTGTCAGAAGTTAATATAGTTTTCCTGTGGGTTGGAATTAATGATGGGTGACGAATGACGAAATATTCGTCACTGACGAATGACGAAACCATTTCGTCAGGCAACTTCAAAT